CCCCCCCCGGGACCCCGACACGGCCCCGGCCCCGTAGAGGGGACAGGGGTGTCCCCGGGATGGTGTCACCCTGTCCCCAGTGTCCCCAGTGTCCTCAGGGTGGTGTCCCCAGTGTCCCCAGTGTGGTGTCCTCGTGTCCCCAGTGTCCCCAGTGTCCCCAGGGTGGGTGTCCCTGTGTCCCCAGTGTCTCCAGGGTGGGTGTCCCTGTGTTCCCAGTGTAGTGTCCCCAGTGTCCCCAGTGTGGTGTCCCCGTGTCCCCAGTGTCCCCAGTGTCCTCAGGGTGGTGTCCCCAGTGTCCCCAAGGTGTCCCCCGGGTGGGTGTCCCCGTGTCTCCACCCCCCCCAGCGATGCTCGACCACACTGTACCGCAACAATAAAGGGTGACGTCGCTAATTGTGACCCCTGGAGGGGGTGGGGGGGAGGTGACACCCTGGGGGGGTTGCGGGGAGGGGTCACCGATGGCGGGAAAACGACGGGTTTATATTTTAGTTTGCTTGTTTAACGAGATATTACGGTAAAGAGCGGGAGCGCCTCTCGACGCGTCATTACGGTAGGGCGGTGAATGGGCGTGGCCTGACCTCGAAGAGGCGTGGTTTATGTTAATAAGTGTGTAACGATGGGTGGGCGTGGTTTATGCTGATTGGGAGGCGCGGCTTTGACGAGTGGGCGTGGCTTTAGGAGAGACAGGAAGACGCGCGCGGCTCCGTCAGGGGAAACCAGAAACTGCGCATGCGAAGTGGTGGACCGCGCGCTGATTGGCGAGGAGGGGGCGGCCCGCGCCGCGCGCCGATTGGCTGAGACGCGAGAAGGGCGGGAAGGCGCGGCGCGCGCCGCGCGCTGATTGGCCGAGCCGTGAGGGGCGGGAAGGGAGGAGGAGGGCGGAGGGAGGCGTCATGGCGGCCGCGGCCATGGCCGGGCTGGAGCGCTGGGTGTCCGGGCAGCTGCAGGAGCTGCTGGGGCTCAGCGCCCGCCACGTCCCCGCCTTCCTGGTGGCGCTGGCGCGGCGGAGCCGCAGCACCGAGGAGCTGCTGGAGCGGCTGCGGGAGACGGAGGCGCTGCGGGTGGAGGAGCCGCGAGTGCGGGAGTTCGCCAGGGAGCTGTGGGAGAAGGTGGGCGGAGCCGCCCTGAGGGGAGGTGGGAGGGGTTTGAGGGACGTGGGCGGGGCTTCGGTGTGAGGGGAGGGGGTCACGGTGTGAGGGGGAGAGGGCGTGGCTTGAGGTGGGAGGGGCGTGGTCTGGGCAACGATGGGCGTGGTTTTTTGTTGGAGGGGTGTGGCTTTGCCGCGGTTCGTGCAGGGATTGGGTGAGGGATGCCCTGGGGGCGTGGCTTGTTGTGAAGTGGGCGCGGCTTGCCAGAAGTGATATGAGGGGTGTGGTTTTGTGCGGAGGAGGCGTGGCTTAACATGGGGGCGTGACTTAAAGACAAATGTGGGTGGAGCCAAAAGAAAGGGGTGTGTTCAACCACTGACTGGGCGTGGCTTAAAGGATAAGGGGTGGGGCCAACAGAAGGGGCGTGTCCAGCGCCATAAAATGGGTGTGACCAACTAGGAAGGGGCGGGGATTAAAGTGTGATGTGGGTGTGGCCAACTGGAGATGGGCGTGGCTTAAAGCATGTTGGGGCGGGACCAGAAAGAAGGGGCGTGACCAACCACAAAGAGGCGGAGCCAAAACGAAAGGGCGGGTCCACACCACCACTCCCCCCTCCCAATTAACACATCACCCAATCAGAGCTCTTGGAACACCACTGGGCGTGGCCACCCGGTGGGCGTGTCCACCACCGGGTGGGCGTGTCCACCGCCGGGTGGGCGTGTCCTGACGTTGTCCCCGCCCCCGCAGGTGCCCCGCGAAGCCCCCCGGGAGCCCCCCGGGCGGGCGGCCGAGCGGGCGGCGCTGGAGCTGCAGCGAAGGTCCCAGAGGTACCAACTGGTGGAGAGCGACGATGAGGGGGCGGGGCCGGCGCCGGGACACGCCCCCCGCGAGGAGCCACGCCCCCGCCGGAGGAGGGGCCACCTGAGGAGGAGGCGGCGCTCGGAGTCCCCCGAGAGCCCCCCCGGGACCCCCAAGGGCGACAATGGGGGGTCACCGACGTGAGTGACAACGGGGGGCAAGAGAGGGGGCTCTCTCCGGGTTTGGGGGGTCCTGGGGGTCCCTCGTGGCTCTGGGGGGGTCCTACAGGGGCTCAGGGACCCCCCCTGGATCTTGGGGTCCCCCCATTTCAGTCCCCCTGAGACCCCCCAAACTCATCTGAAACCCCAAAAACAACCCCCGAAATCCCACCTGGGACCCCCCAAAATCCCACCTGGGACCCCCCAAAATCCCCCCTGGGACCCCCCAAAATCCCACCTGGAACCCCCAAACCCCACCTTGGACCCCAAAACCCCCCTCAAACCCCCTAACCCCACCCTGAGACCCCCCAAACCCAACCCGGGACCTCCCAAACCCCCCCGGGTGGGTTTTGGGGTCCCTTTGAGGTACTTGGGTGGGTTTTTGGTGTCCCCAGGTGAGTTTTTGGGGTCCTTGGGTGGGTTTTTGGGCTCTTTTCGAGCTTCCTGGGTCCATGTCTCGGGTCCCTCGAGCAGCTTTTTCGGTGGCCCCGGGGTGGTTTTTTGGGCTCGTTTGTTTTCTCTGCGTGTTTTTTTGGGGGTTCCTCAGGTTTTTCCAGGGCTCCCCTTGCACTTTCGGGGTCCCCCACGTGCTGCCCCCCTCCCCAGAGCCCCCGTGGATCCCGAGGAGGAGGAGTGGGAGGCGTCGGAGCGGGAGCGGCTCCGGGACCTGGAGGAACGAGACGCCTTCGCCGAGCGGCTCCGGCGCCGCGACAGCGCCCGGAAAACACGCCCCGACTCCAAGGTGGGGCTCTGGGGGGGCTTGGGGGGTCCCAGGAGGGGTTTGGGGGTGGTTTGAGGGGTCCCTGGGGGAGTTTGGGGGAAGTTTGGGGGGTTTGGGGTCACCTTCGCCGAGCGGCTCCAGCACCACGACCGAGACCCCGACACCCGCCCTGACTCCAAGGTGGGGCTCTGGGGGGTCCCAGGGGGATTTTGGAGGGTCCCAGGAGGGGTTTGGGGGCGGTTTGAGGGGTCCCTGGAGGAGTTTGGGGAACTCGAGTGGGAACTGGGAGGGCCCAGGGTGGGTTTTGGGGGATCCCCATGTGGGAATTTGGATCCTTGGGTGGGTCCCAGGAGGGGTTTGGGGGTCCCTGGGTGGGAATTTGGATCCCTGAATGGTCCCAGGGTGGGTTTGGGGGATCCCTGGGGAGGTTTGCAGGTCCCGGGGTGGGTTTGGGGGATCCCTGGGGAGGTTTGCAGGTCCCGGGGTGGGTTTGGGATTCCCTTTTCCCCCTTTCCTCCCGTTTTCTCCCATTTTCCCCTTTCCAGGCCTACGAAGAAGCCCAAAAACGCCTCAAAATCGCTGAGGAGGACCAAAAAACCATGGTGGGCTCCCCAAACCCCCCCAAACCCCCCAAGCCCCCCCAGATCCCCCCAAATCCCCACCCCCCAGCCCTCCTGCCCTCCCCAGTGCTCCACTTTCCATGATTTCCCCCCATTTTCCCTTATTTTTCCCCTAATTCCCCCCACTTCCACCCTTTTCCCTCCCTTTTTTATTGGTTTTCCCTGTTTTTCCCTGTTTTATCCCTCCTTTCCCCCATTTCCACTCACACATCCCTGTTCTTTCCTATCTTACCTTCATTTCCCCCCCATTTCTCCCTTTATTCCCATTTCTCCCCTTTTTTTCCATTTCATCCCTATTTCACTCTCATTCTCCCTGCATTTCCCATTTTCCTTGTTTTGTCCTTGTTTTTATGTATTTTTCCTAACTTTTTCCTGTTTATCTTTCCATTTCCCCTCTTTATCCCCATTCTCCTCTCTTTTTTCCCCCTTTCCCCCCTTTTTTCCTCATTTCCTGCCCATTTTCCCTGGTTTTCCCTCATTTCCCCCCCTTTTCTCTCATTTCCCCCCCTTTTCCCTGGTTTTCCCTCATTTCCCCCCCTTTTCCCCCCAGATCCCGGAGCTCCGGAAGCGCTCCCGCCGGGAATACCTGGCCAAGCGGGAGCGGGACAAGCTGGAGGAGCTGGAGCTGGAGATCCAGGACGAGGAATTCCTGTTCGGGGAGGAATCCCTGACGGGCCCGGAGCGCCGGGACCTGGAATACAAACGGCAGCTCCGGGACCTGGCGCGGGAATACAAACGGGCCGGGGACAGGGAGCGCCTGGAGAAGAGCTCCAGATACCACATCCCGGAGGAGACTCGGGGGAAGGTGGGAATCCTGGGATTGGGGGGGTCAGCAGGGTGGGAATCCTGGGGTTTGGGGGGGAATCCCAGAGTTTGGGGGGTCAGGGGGGTGGGAATCCCAAAGGTTTTTTTTGGGTTTTGGGGTTTTGGAGTCTCAGCTCCATTGTTCCCGTGTCCCAGGTTCTGGAGGAGGATCAGCCGGGGGGGGGAGGAGGCCCTGGCCCCCCGTGACGAGCAGCAGCGTTGGGAGGAGCAGCGTCTGGGGGCGGCCGTGCTGCGTTTCGGGGCGCGGGACGCGGCCCTGCAGGGCCCCCCCCGGGACTACGAGCTGCTGCTGGAGGAGGAGGAGATGGTGCAGTTCGTCAGCGCAGCCCACCTCGAGGGAACACACCCCCCCGAGGTGAGGGGAGGGGTCTGGGGGGGTTTGGGGTGAGGGGGAGGGTCCTGGGGGTGATGGGAGGGGGTTTGGGGGGAATGTGAGAGGGTTTGGGAGGGATTTGGGGTGATGGGAGGGGTTTTAGGGGAGGTTTAAGGGGGACTTGGGGTGATGGGAAGGATCCTGGGGGTGATGGGAGGGACACTTTAGGGGCACTGGGGTGGCACTGGGGGGACAGTGGGGTGACACTGCGGACACTGGGGTGACACTGGGAACTCTGGGGTTGCTGTGGGGGTGACACAGGGACCCCTGAGGTGACCCAATGATTTTGGGGTCCCCAGGAGGCCCCCCCGGAGGTGTCGGAGCTGGAAAGGCGCCGGCAGTCGGCCCGGGAGAGCCGCCGGAGCCTCCCCATCTTCCCGTTCCGGGACGAGCTGGTGGCGGCCGTGGGGCAGCACCAGATCCTCGTCATCGAGGGCGAGACCGGCTCGGGCAAAACCACCCAGATCCCCCAGTACCTGCACGAGGAGGTGATTCCTGGGGGGCTGGGGGGGATCTGGGGGTGATTCGGGGGGAATTGGGAGCGGGCAGAGGGGCTGGGAGGGGGATTTTGGGGTGCTGGGGGGGTGGGGAGTGATGTGAGGGGAGGATTGGGGGGCGAGGGGTGATTTTTTGGGGGGGTTGGGGGTGGTTTGGGGGGTGTTGGGGGCAGATTAGGGGGTTAAGGGGCAATTAGGGGGGTGATAGGGGCAGATGGAGGGGCTGGGGAGGGTTTTGGGGTGGTTTGGGGGGTGTGATTGTGGGTCTGGGGGTCAGTTGGGAGTCTTGACCCCCCCTTTTTCCCCAGGGGTACATGGGGCAGGGGCTGGGTCAGTTTTGGGGGGTCAGTTCCATAATTTGGGGTCAGTTCTGTTTTTAGGGGTCTGTTCCATTTTTGGGGGGGGCTGGTTGGGATCTAGAAGGGCTCGTTGGGATCTGGGGGGGCTGATTTGGCTCTGGGGGGTCACTGGGGGTCCTGACCCCCCTTTTGCCCCCCAGGGGTACACGAGGCAGGGGCTGAAGATCGGGGTGACCCAACCGCGCCGCGTGGCCGCCATGAGCGTGGCTGCCAGGGTGGCCGTGGAGATGGGGACAAAGCTGGGCAACGAGGTGACAGCGGGGACACCCCGGGGCTGGGGGGGGCACTGGGGGGGCACGGGGGGACACGGGGACACTTCCTTGTCCTGGGGGAGCTCGAGGACACGTCCGTGTCCTGGGACACCTTGGGGACCTTTGGGGACATGTCCTGGGGGATCTTGGGGACACCTCCTCACCCTGGGGACCTTGGGGGACCCTTGGGGACACTTCCTTGTCCTGGGGGACCCCAAGGGACCCTTGGGGACACTTCCCCACCCTGGGGGACCCCAAGGACAATGTCCCCACCCTGGGGGCCCCAAAGGACCTTTGGGGACTCGTCCTTGTCCCGAGGGCCGTTGGGGGACACTGGGGACTCTGGGGGGGCTGGGTGAGCCCAGGGGGGTGTCAGGTGAGCCCGGGGGGGGTGACAGTGACCGTGTCCCCTGTCCCCAAGGTTGGGTACAGCATCAGGTTCGAGGACTGCACCTCGGACAGGACGGTGCTCAAGTACATGACGGACGGGATGTTACTGAGGGAGTTCCTCACCGAGCCAGACCTGGCCTCCTACAGGTGACACTGGGGACACTGGGGACACCTGGGGGACACTGGGGGGACATGGGGACAGTGCTGTAAGCCCTGTCCTTGGGCTCATTGGGGTCACTTTGATGTCCCTGTCCCCACATCCCTGTGCCCTGTCCCCTGTCCCCATGGTCACTCCCTTGTCCCCATGGTCACTCCCTTGTCCTTATGGCCACTCCCTCGTCCCTGTGGCCACTCCCTTGTCCCTGTGGTGACCCCCCCATCCCCGTGGTGACCCCCCTGTCCCCCGCGGTGCCCCAGCGTGATCATGGTGGACGAGGCCCACGAGCGGACGCTGCACACGGACGTGCTGTTCGGGCTCATCAAGGACATCGCCCGATTCCGGCCCCAGCTCAAGGTCCTGGTGGCCTCGGCCACGCTGGACACCCAGAGGTTCTCGGCCTTCTTCGACAACGCGCCCGTGTTCCGCATCCCGGGGCGGCGCTTCCCCGTCGACATCTACTACACCAAGGTGACATTGGGGGGACACTGGGGACAGCAGGGACACCTGGGGACACTGGGGACACTGGGGACATCTACTACACCAAGGTGACATTGGGGGGACATTGGGGACATTGGGGACATTGGGGACATCTACTACACCAAGGTGACATTGGGGGGACACTGGGGACACTGGGGACACTGGGGACATTGGGGACATCTACTACATCAAGGTGACATTGGGGGGGACATTGGGGACACCTGGGGACATTGGGGACATCTACTACACCAAGGTGACATTACTGGGGACACTGGGGGACAGAGAGGACATTTGGGGGCACCCAGGAACATGGGGGTGGGACACGCTGGGAAGGAGGTGGCACTGGGGCACAGGGGGGTCACAGGAGGATGCCCGGGGAGCCGTGGGGGTGCTGCTGTCCCCCGGTGTCCCCCGGTGTCCCCAAACGCCCCCCGTGTCCCCACAGGCCCCCGAGGCCGATTACCTGGAGGCCTGTGTGGTGTCGGTGCTGCAGATCCACGTCACCCAACCCCCCCGGGGACATCCTCGTCTTCCTCACGGGACAGGTGGGTGTCACCCTGTCCCCAGGTGTCCCCAGGTCCCTCCTGGCATCCCCATGACCCCCCAGATGTCCCCAATTCCCCCCAGATGACCCCAGGTCCCCCCAGGCCGTCCCTGTCCCGCCGTGTCCCCTCCTCTCCCCTCTTTCTCCCCCAATGCCTCTCATGTCCCTGTGACATCCCCAAATGTCCCCAAACGTCCCCAAACGTCCCCAAATGTCCCCTGGGTGGCCAGGAGGAGATCGAGGCGTGCGTGGAGCTGCTGCAGGAGCGCTGCCGCCGCCTGGGCTCGCGCCTGCCCGAGCTGCTGGTGCTGCCCATCTACGCCAACCTGCCCTCAGACCTGCAGGCCAAGATCTTCCAGCCCACCCCCCCCGGGCGCCAGGAAGGTGCGCGGGCCCTTTAACACCGGGGGCGGGGCCAAGGGAGGGGGCGGGGCTTGGGGGAGGAGGGGTTTAGGGGATGGGTGGGGTTTAAGGGGTGGGTGGGGTTTAAGGGATGGGGTTTAGGGGGTGGGGTTTAAGGGATTGGTGGGGTTTGAGGGATGGGTGGGGTTTGAGGGGTTGGGCTTAACAGGGCCAGGCTTAAATGGGTGGGGTTTATTAGGGTGGAGTCTAAGGGGGTGGAGCTTAATAGGGTGGGGTTTACAGGGGTGGGGCCTCATAAGTGGGTCTAAAGGGGTGGGGCTTATTAGGGTGTGGTCATGAGTGTGTCCTGGAGGGGCGGAGCCTGAGAGGCCCCTCCCCCAGGTGATGGCGGCCATGAACATTGCAGGGGTGGAGCTTAAGAGGGTGGGGCCTAGATGGGTGGGGCTTAACAGGGTGAGGTCTAAAGGGGTGTGGCTTAAAGGGGTGGAGCTTAAGGGGCAGTGGGCGAGAGGTGTGGTCTAAAAGGGTGGGGCTTAACAGGGTGTGGCCCGAGGGGGTGAGGCTTATTGGGGTGAGGCCATGGGCGTGTCCCGGGGTGGGCGGAGCCTGATAGGCCCCTCCCCCAGGTGGTGGTGGCCACGAACATCGCGGAGACGTCGGTGACGATCGACGGCATCGTCTACGTGCTCGACCCCGGCTTCTGCAAGCAGAAGAGCTACAGCGCCAGGACCGGCATGGAGTCCCTCGTGGTGACCCCCTGCTCCAGGGTGAGGACACCTGTGTCACCTGCTGTCACCTGTGTCACCTCAGTGTCACCCACTGTCACCCTACTGCCACCCCCCATCACCTACAGCCACCCCGTCACCTCATGGAGTCCCTCGTGGTGACCCCCTGCTCCAGGGTGGGGACACGTGGGTGACAGGGGCCCTCCGGTGTCCCCAGGCCTTGGCCAACCTGACAGGTGACAATCACAGGTGACACTCCTGTGTCCCCAGGCCTCAGCCAACCAGCGGGCAGGCCGTGCAGGCTGGGTGGGTGACAGGTGACAATCACAGGTGACAGGTGACATTCCTGTGTCCCCGGAGGGTGACAGGTGACATTTCTGTGTCCCCAGGCCTCGGCCAACCAGCGTGGGGCCGTGCAGGCTGGGTGGGTGACAGGTGACAGTCACAGGAGACATTTCTGTGTCCCCAGGCCTCAGCCAACCAGCGGGCAGGCTGTGCGGGCCGGGTGGGTGACAGGTGACAGTCACAGGTGACAGTCACAGGTGACAATCACAGGTGACAATCACAGGTGACAGGTGACATTCCTGTGTCCCCAGAGGGTCACAGGTGACATTTCTGTGTCCCCAGGCCTCGGCCAACCAGCGTGCAGGCCGTGCGGGCCGGGTGGCCCCCGGGAAGTGTTTCCGTCTCTACACGGCCTGGGCCTTCCAGCACGAGCTGGAGGAGACGCCGGTGCCCGAAATCCAGCGCTGCGACCTGGGGTCCCTCGTGCTGCTGCTCAAGAGCCTCGGTGGGGGCAACGGGGGAGGGGGAAAAAGGGGTCGGGGGGGGGGTTAAAGAGGTCTGGAGGCATCCCGGGGGGTCAGGGGGCATTGAGGTCCCTGGGGTGGCCCCGGGGGTGGTCCCAGGGTGGTCCTGGTGGTCCTGGGGTGGTCCTGAGGTGGTCCCAGGGTGGTCCCAGGCTGGTCCTGGTGGTCCCGGGGTGGACTCAGGGTGGTCCTGGTGGTCTCGGGGCGGTCCCGGTGACGCCCCCGGTGCCCCCCAGGGATCAACGACCTGATTCACTTCGACTTCCTGGACCCCCCTCCCCACGAGACCCTGGTGCTGGCCCTGGAGCAGCTCTATGCCCTGGGGGCCCTCAACCACCTGGGAGAGCTCACCACGGTACTGGGGGCACTGGGATGGACGGGGAGGCACTGGGATGGAGTGGGGGGCAGTGGGGATGGAGTGGGAGGCACTGGGGGGCACTGGGAGGGGATTGGGGGGCTCTGGGAGGGTCTGGGGGACACTGAGATGGGGGCTCTGAACCACCCGGGCGAGCTCACCACGGTACTGGGGGCACTGGGACAAACTGGGAGGGGCACTGGAGGTGTCACTGGTGTCACTGGAGGTGACTGGTGTCCCCTGTCCCAGCTCGGGCGCCGCATGGCCGAGCTGCCCGTGGAGCCCATGTTGGCCAAGATGATCCTGGCGTCCGAGCAGTGAGTGACCCCCGTCCCCAAACGTCCCCAGAGTGTCCCCTGGGTGTCCCCAGGGTGTCCCCAACATCCCCAGAGTGTCCCCAGGGTGTCCCCAATGTGTCCCCAGGGTGTCCCCAATGTCCCCAGGGTGTCCCCAGGTACGGCTGCTCCGGGGAGGTGCTCACGGTGTCCCCGAGGTGTCCCCAGTGTCCCCAATGTCCCTGGTGTCCCTGGTGTCCCCAGGGTGTCCCCGGCGTCCCCAGGGTGTCCCTGGTGTCCCCAAGGTGTCCCCCTGTCCCCAGGTACGGCTGCACCGAGGAGGTGCTGACGGTGGCCGCCATGCTCTCGGTGAACAACGCCGTGTTCTACCGGCCCAAGGACAAGGTGCTGCACGCCGACAGCGCCCGGGTGGGCTTCCACCTGCCCGGGGGGGACCACCTGGTGCTGCTCAACGTCTACAACCAGGTACGGGGACACTGGGGACACTGGGGGGACACTGGGGGCACTGGGGACACTGGGGGGACACTGGGGGGACACTGGGGGACATTGGGGACACTGGGGGCACTGGGGGCACTGGGGGCACTGGGGGACACTGGGGGCACTGGGGGACACTGAGGGGACACTGGGGACATTGGGGGCACTGGGGGCACTGGGGGACACGGGGGTTCTGGGGACATGGGGGGTGTCCAGGAGCAGCACTGACTGTGTGTCTTCTTGTTCTCCCTGTCCTTGTCTGTCTCTCCTGTCCCTGTGTCCCCGTGTCCCCTGTGCCTGTGTGTCCCCATGTGTCCCTGTGTGTCCCCCCTGTCCCCCCCTGTCCCCGTGTGTCCCCTGCTGTCCCCGTGTGTCCCCTGTGGCCCCTGGCAGTGGGTGGCCAGTGGTCACTCCCTGCAGTGGTGCTACGAGCACTTTGTCCAGGCCCGTTCCCTGCGCCGGGCGCGGGACGTGCGGGAGCAGCTCCAGGGGCTCATGGAGCGCGTGGAAATCGCCCCCTCCTCGTGTGGGGGGAACCTGGACCTCGTCAGGAAGGTACCTGGGACCCCCCC